TGTGTGTGTGGCCAGCTCAGCCCACCAGGGGGCGGGGCTGGCTGGCATGTGGTGCTGGGGGATTGAACCGCGGTCCCTGTGATTTGCTAAGCTTGTTCTAAGTAGGTGCTTTAGACCACTGAGCCATCTCACCAGCAACCCCTGAAGCACTTTAAAAAAAAAAATTGTACATAAAAAGTACAAAAAATTATAAATATTCACACACTCAACTTTTTATAAACACTAAATTTTGCGTTACATTAATTTTGTTGCTATTGTTTGTTTTCTGAGACAGGGCCTCTGTGTCAGTTGCTTGCCCTTGGCTGAGGCAAAATACCCAACAGCCAGGACTTAAGGAAGGAGAGACTTTTTTTTTTTTATTAATTTAATTGATAAACAAATAGCAATGAGACGGTTTCAAAACCGATTAGTAGGACAGTTTCAATAATTAATACATTGTATATTGTCTTCGGAGTGGTTATTCACAGTACAAGATGCAGACATGATATCCTGTCTAAATACTATTAGTATAAATATTTCTTCTCATTGAATTAAGAGAAAGTAGCTGTATGTCTATCCTAACTATTTTGTGTATACAGATACAAAATGGTCCTTCATTTGTATCTCCTTTTTTTGTTTAGTTTTGTCAGAGATGGGTATTCTATTGCCATTTAAATATTGTAAGTACATGAATTCAACAAAGTAATCCAATATAGTCCAGTAGTCCATAATAATAGTGGGTTATCTGTAGGACTGGCAGTATCAGAAGTTGTTGACTTGAGCCTTTTACAGCTCAGCATATTGATATGGCTTTACTTTTTATATCTCATTTTTATACTTTTCTGCTGATGGTTAAGACCAAGATAAAGCAAGACCAATATAACAAGAAATGTGACTTTTGTATTTGACAAGGTCAGTCAAATCTTCTCAGGATTTACTGAGACTGTACCACAGTTTGCAGATCCTCTGTCAGTGTTGGCCATGTGAATGAGTCACGGCCATTGCTTGACCAATTTGCTCTCTGTGAAAGCCTGCAAGAATGTTTTCAGGAGAGACTTATCTGACTCACAGTTCTGGAGGTTTCGGCCATGGTAGGCCAGTGCGAAGCTGGAACAGGATGGTGGAAGGTCGTGGGCAAAGAGAGCTGCTGATGTCTTTGAATGCAGGAAGCAGAGAGAGAAGGGAGGGGCAAGGAACCAGAATACAGCCCTGCAGGTCATGACCCCAGGGGGCCCCCTCCTCCTACCAGGATCTACCGCCTAAAGCTGCATTTGGCTGTGAGCTCAGACATGGGTTAATCCTTTGATGAGCATAGAATGCCCACAATCCAATCAATCACCTTTTAAAAGTGCCACCTCTAAATACATGAGACTTTGGGGGACACTTTACATCTGTACCATAGCATCTGCTGTGCAGTCCACATTGGCCCTGAAATCACCGTGTGGTGTAGGCTGGCCTTGGACTTCAGATCCTTCAGCCTCATCCTCTGAGGGACAGGATTACAGGTGACTGCCACTACACCTGGCTCCATTTTTAAACTAAACTTTAATTTTGAAACAATTTTAGAGTCCCTTTCAGCTGTGTAAAAATATGATTGAGGCAGATCTACAACTTTAAAGGGCTTATTTAAGAAAACTGTAGTCCATGAGTCAGGCAACAACAAATCAGAAGTGGTTAGGACTCCACTGAGAGGCTCCCAGGGAAACTTTCTGTTTCTTTTCTTCTCTTTCTTCTCTCCCCCTCTCTCTCCCTTTCTCTCTGTGCCACAGCTCCTCCCTGTTGACTCTTCTGTTTTACTGTTTATCCACTGCCTTGAGCTGCTGCCCTCTTCCATGTACCTCTCTGCCTTGGAGCCAGCTGATTATGGACTGAAATCTCCACTAACTGTGAGCTAATTAAGCCTTCATTGTGGGTGTCAGACATTTTGTTTCAGCAATGAAAGAAAAGTAACCAAGACACTAATGAACTATCATAACACTCAACACATATAACTGACAGCAAAATGATAATTTTTTCCACACTGGAGATTGAACCCGGGGCCTTTGCACAGAGCTACATTCCCAGCCTTTCTTAACTTTTTATTTTGAGGTAGGGTCTCACTAAGCCACCCAAGCTAGTAGTTGTCCTGCTTCAGCCTCCCGGAGTGCTGGGATTGCAGACATGAACCATGGTTGCGTGGTAATGCTTAGAGGATAGAAATAAAAGGGTGAAGAAACATAAAGGTTTAAGGTGGGGCCGGGGAGATGGCTCAGTGGAATAAGCACTTTCTTGGCAAGCGCAAGGGCCTGAGTTCAATCCCCAGTTCTGTAATAAAATAAAATAAAGGTTTAAGGAGGGGCTGCAAAGAGCACAAATGCAGAAGAGCCCCGTGGGTGGTCAGGTGTTCCACACACCCAACTGCGGTGCTGTCAAGGTGAGAGCGCAGACACCCACTCTGCCTGGAAGTGGGTAGCCTCCGCATGGGGAATTGCCGAGGAGCTGAAGCCGGGTGTTTTCTACCTGGTGATTTCCTGGGTAGAGACCTTGACCTGTCAAGACCACAGATTGGTGTGATGAACTTCACAGATTTCCCCTTTTGTAAGTCTTGGAAGCCAGCAGTTGCCTCATTCTTTGACTGGTATGTTTGATAAGTTCACGTTTTTGTTGTGTCTGAGAAGCCCACATCTCTAAGCCCTGAGTTAGTTTGATAAACTCACAGGTCATAATTTTTATTGGCATAAGTGAGTCATTTAAACCAGGAATGTTGACCCAATCCAGTGATCCCAGCCCTTGGGAGGCTGAGGCAGGAGGATCACCATAACCAGGAGACCTGCCTGGGCTACGTAGTGAGCTCAAGGCCAGCTTGAATTATATACTGAGACCCTGTCATGAAACAAAACAAAAAATGAGTGATTTATCAGTCTGAGCCATCTGGTCGTCCTCTACACGTGGTGGTTGTTTACTTTCGTGGAGAAGATGAGCTATTTTACCTTAACATCTGTACTCAGAGCTGCACAAGGGTAAGCTGCAGCTGGAGAGTGGCCACTTTACACAGTAACCCTTGGATTCCCTGAAGAGTGGTCGGTGTCCCCCACCCAGCTTTTAGCTGTTACTAATAAATGTTACTGGTACTGCTATAACCATTCACGCGTAGGTTTTGGTATGAAAATCTGAGTAAGGGCTGGCCAGATAGCTTGGCGCACTACAGCACCTGCTTAGACAGAAGCAGGGACTGGGGTTTGATTCCCAGCGTGCAGTGCTGGCCCCGCTTCCAGGGCACACTGAGACTGCAACTGAGACTGGCGTGGTGGCGTGTGCCTGTAATCCCAGCTCTTGGGAGGCTGTAAACAGGCAGATCACTATGAGTCCAATCTAGTAGTGAGACCCGGAACACTCTGTAGACCCTTCTCTGAAATGAAAAATAAAATAAATAAATGAAGGAAGGAAAGAAAGAAAGAAAGAAAGAAAGAAAGAAAGAAAGAAAATCTGAGTAAGTCTTTCTTTTTTCTT